TCTCCCTGTTGCTTTTCTTTTGTAGCCCAAGAATCAAGCTGGATGCGCCCCTTTTGGTCCCATGTCCACTTTCGAGGCAGCTAGAAGGAGGCGATGCCTATCTGGGTTTAGCGCCAGCCCTGTCGCCAGCATGGCTTAAAACTTCCTTTGGGATCTGATATCAAGCCTGCAGGAGCTTTGCAAGCAAGACCCGCGTCTCTCGCGGAAAATACGAGCATAGGCATGCGTGCTGTTGGGCATGCACTATGTTTTCAACCCTTTCTTTGACGAAGCCACATTCCTTTACTCTCGACGCCGTCTAGGCGTGCGGTGGAGAACTGGCGCATACTACCTATATCTCGCAACCATAGACGCCGCCTTTTGGTCGTGCCTTGAACTCCCGAATTTGATACACCGAAAAAAAACATAGACGCATAAAAGCCGCAAGTCTCAGTCACCCAATGGCTAAGGACATGGTGACTTACCCATTTCAAGATACCTGATGGCTATTGGCTGATTACCCGTGTATCTGGCCTTGTTGTGTTTGCTTTTCAACGCACTGCTGGACCTGTTCCTGGGCCATTTGGATTGCGACTATGCCCAAGGTCCCGAATACCTTTCTTTGAGGTATTCTCGATAACGTCACAAGGCTTACTGCGAGTGGGTTTGCCTCTATTTTTTTTCTTTTTCTATTTCTCTTTCTTTCTTTTTTTTTTTCCTACCCGGAAAATGGTCCCATACCAATCATCTGTCAAGATGGGGTAATTTTTCATTCACGCCATGATATATGGCTCCAAATTCAGCTCTTTTTATCTCTATTCATGGCAACAATCTTCCATCCCCTCTCAGCTCATCAAGGCTCAGCCGTGTCAGCGGGATGGGCCACCAGTGCCGCTCAGGCTACCAACATATGTCTAGCTATGACATGCTCAACCTGGGCGTCTGTCTATCAGAGATTATATCAAAGTCACCGTGGCCATGATGACCTAGAATTTACGAGGATGTCATCTACGCTAGCTCTAGATCAAGAGACCGCGCCTCTGATGTATCCGGACTTGCAATCGGCCGTTTCATGGCCTGTATGCGGTTGGATGATATCCCGTGGACCATTCATTACTGCATCAAACCCCTTTCACCGACCGTTCCGGCAACCAGTAGTCATTGAATTTCTTTTTCTCCAGACGTTTGCGTCGGCCCTATGCCGACCAATATGCCATCCATCTTCTTCTGTGGCCTTTCCCACTGGTTCGACTTGCTTTTAACATGGCAGAAATGCCCCCGCCGTTGGCAAATTTGTAGAAATTCTACTGGAACCGGGAATACGGCTCAGGATCCATCCCACCGTTTCAGTGGCTTATTTTCTGTCTTTCGCTTGGGCTGCATGTTTTACGTGATGGAGTTGGAAGAAAGGAACAAGGCTTTCCCCCAAATCTAGCTGCGGCGTACACTAGATCAGTACGGTGCATTAGAACTTGGAACAAGGCCTCCTTTACATGACACTTCTGCCATGTATTCTCATACTTGTCAGGATTGCAAGCAAATAGATAAAAGGCAACGGTTCTTTCCATACTTTCGTATAGTATATAGGAGTGGTATATGGCTCAGAGCAATGATACTTCACATCCTATCAAAATGGACTTCTCCAACCAGTCAGCCTTGAATTTTGCTCTAATCTCCCAGGAGTATAGCCCTCACGCCCCTGGAAGATGGCCTTCTGCGTCCATGCCTACTACCCCAAATGTGGTTGAAAGTCAATTATGGATGCAGTTCAGCTGGGCTCAAGTTGCCTTTACCCTTATAGCTATATGGCCCATTATTGTGGCTATCCTACGACACTCGAGAGAGCGGCAAAGGAGGAAACGCTTCAACTTCCCTACGAGAGATTCGTTTGCCCAAATGACTGTCCGCGATGCTTGGGCTATCCAACTTGATCTTATGGACACAGAGACCTCCTTTTTCTTCATGCTTGCACTTAAGTTTGCCATTTTCTCGGTATGATAAGCAATAATTTACCCTGGGTATTTTTGACGTTCATGCATAATCCTAGCATCATATGTGCTAATATATATATATATATACGTATAGGTGAACGGTATACCTTCCATTTCCAGTTTGCTGGTCAGGACAAATAAGCTCCCTTCGGAGCGTGTTCACCTTCGATATTCCATGACCTCTGTCATGATAGCCGAATTTCTTGCGTTTCCACCTGACGATGAAAGGGCGTTACAGGCAATATCTCGAATGAATAATATCCACCAAACATACCAGAGAGCCGGCCAAATTTCAAACGATGATCTGCTATACACCCTCGGGCTTTTCGCCTATCTCCCTGTCCGGTGGGTTGGTAAATATGACTGGCGTGAACTTACTGACATGGAGAAGTGTGCCTTGGGAACATTCTGGAAAGATATCGGTGACTGTATGGAAATCGACTATTCTCAGCTCCCGTCTTCTAAGTCGGGCTGGAAAGATGGTCTCCACTGGCTCGAGGAAGTTACGGGATGGGGTGATCAATATGAAGAAAAGAACATGATTCCCTGCGCTAGCAACCAACTCGTTGCCCTCTCCGCCATTGGTATCATACTATATATTGTCCCTGACTTCCTAAAGCCGACAGCAAAGAAAATGATATTTTCTTTACTCGAAGATCGCATGATAAAGGCGCTAATGTATGTATACTGTCAGCCCTTTTGTTTGTGTACTTCTTTATATTCTAACCACCTCTATACCGCATATAGGTTGCCTGAATCATCCGAGCTTTGCAAGGTCTCTGTCAAAACAATACTCAATGCTCGGCGTTACATAGTCCGCTACTTCTTTCCGCCTCGCCCTTCATGCATGCGCTTTCAGCCGCTGAGTGCAAAGGCCGACAAGGATGGCAGATATTATCTGCAAACCTACGACTCCAAACCTTTCTACATCAAACCGACAATTTCTTCACGCTGGTTTTCTCCCGCTGCCATTATTAGAAGAGTTCTTGGCCTGCCTTTGCCAGGGGATAATGGTAACAAGTATCACCCTCGTGGATATCGGTTAGAAGAACTAGGTCCATCCTGGATCCTGGCCAGAAAGACGATCAACCAAGATGTTAAAATTGCCCGTCAAAGGCTGGACCAAAACCATACCACTGGCTGTCCCTTTGGGTAAGGGACTTGCTGGTAGTTTGGGACATTCGGTTTATGGGTAAGGGCATATATATATATAATAGGGTAGGTAGGGCGCCCCCTTTCTCTTTGCTTTCTTTACCTTCTATCTTTAATTTCTACATTTATCTTATATCCTTCATTCACTTTCTATTTCTTTTCTGTACATTTTTCTACCTTAGCGCGTATCTTGGTATGACAAGCTACGTCTATGTACGGGACTCACATGGTGGGGCAACTTGGTATATAGCTGAGAGGTTGGCGAGCTGCTTGGACTTGGCCCTACATTCTTTATCATTAACTACTCCTTTAGACCCCCTTTTGTTATTTTGACCAGTCCTTGTTGCTTTCTGTTTGAGAATACGCAGACTCGAACAAAGTGGAAGATAACTGCAAATGGCTGGACTAAATGTCAAGATATCGTTTCACAAAAATCATTGCTTGACAAAGCAGGTATTTCAATGTTAATGAGAATCTATTGATAGCAGTGACTAATGATATGTAAGAATATCTTGAACAACAAACGCCCGCTGCCTCTGTTTGGCGCCTTATATCCCCAGCCTTTGAAAGCCAAAGTTCAAGCAGGAGGTACAAAAGTAGACGTTTACAAGCACCATATTGTACAGTCGTTCAAAGTGATTTACGGAAAATGGGTCGAAAGTTCAAGTTAACGCCTCAAGGAAGGTGTCGTCTGCCATTGGTATAGAGCTTTGAACACTGCGAGCGCTCCCGATTGCGTTTCCAGTGTACGGCCTCTTCCACGGTCATTCACATCCTTCACTGCCTTGGCAACATTTGGTCCGGTACCAGCATCACCTTCTTCCGGCTTGGAAGCTGCGATGTCTTGGAATTCATGAGTGATAGGACGCAGCTGATCACCAAAAATATCGCTATGAACTTCCTTGGCAAAATACGTTCGGTTTCCCTTAGCCTGTAGGAGTGCAAGGTCGGGGCTAGCACGATTGATTGGAGGATCGGAGTTGCTGTAATCCACGGCACCATGCGGCAACACAACAGCGCTATCACTACTGTTCAGCTCTCCGTCGGGGTATTTGGGACCCCACCACATTCCATATAAGCCTTTCTCATTTTTGGTGACGGATGCAGCGTAAGCATTATGCTCCAACCACTGTAAGTAAGAAGCACAGATTCGCTGATGCCATCCGAATGTGTTTCTTCGCTCTTGCTCGCTAGTGTTATTGCCACTTGCCGACTTATGTAGTGCTGGATCAGACAGCATCCTCTTCTCTTGGGGACTAATTTGTCGACAAAATTCCGCGAAATGATGGAAGAATATGCCTTTAAAGGTTTGTCCGTCTTGCGAGCATAAGCCGGTACTATCACATGCATCTTCTAAGACGCCTGCCCTCCCCAGTCCATGCCAAGTGTTATCTGATTTTGCTGGCCAACCGGTGGCTTTTATCACATTTCTGACTAAATCATGACCATCTTCAAGATAGCGCCTATCTCCAGTGGCTAACCAAAGACCCCTGAGCCCGCTCAGTATAACTCCTTGGTTATAGGTGTACACCATCGTGTTCAAAACATCACATTTGCCCGTGCCAGGATCGTTCGGAGTCCATCCATGTATGTGAAATCCATCCGCGTAAAGACCGTTGGCTCCAGTCATTTTTGAGCTTTTGAGCCACTTATAGGCTGTTATAGCTGCGTCGAGATGAATTGGATCGCGGGGTAAACTAACAAACCCATTCTCCTGTAGTTGACTTTCCACTATTGGCGAATCGATAGGATCGCCTGGAAAGTAGAGGTACATGTCGATACTTGCTGCGATGAAGAGCTCGTTTGTGATAGCATTCTTGTAAGGAGTTAGCCAAGGGCTCCAAATCATGCCACCGCCGCACAGCTGTGTATCCCACCCTCGCACTGCTAAATCATAGAATACCCGGGCCCTGTGTGCTGCAGGCGCCCTATACTGGGTTCCATGCCACGAGTGGTGGGGGGTTAACTTGCTGTTTGGATGACGACCAAAATGCAACTCCGAATGCAGATTTTGGAATTTTATGCTCTCCAACCATTCCAAAACAACCCACAGCATGTCATCATAGGCTTGCAGCCGTATTCCAAAAAAGTTCTCCCCATGCCAAAAAGCCGAGGTTTGCTGGAAGTAATAACTGATCAGGTTCTCAGTGGACATGGCCGCCTCATCATAGCAGCCATACCAGGGCTCATCGCTGGTAAATCCGAGTGTGGAAGACAATAGAGAGAGTACAGAGAGAATGTGGGTATTCACAACTGCTTTGGTCCAGTCGATGCCGGTTGGCCATGTCGCCTGCCAGAGGCTGAAATAGTCCGACTGCATCACATCAAGGGCCTCAAGCATTGTCCTTAGCGTTTTGCTTGCATGAGGCCAAGGAAATTGACTTGCATCGCCTGGGAAAGGTTCTTGGTCATTTTCTGAAGACTCGACACTGGCTTTCGGTTCTGTTCCAATGAACGGCGCCTGTTGGTCGTCATCAATTATGATGATCTGTTGCGAGATATCACCATTGAACAGATCGAAAGGAGCTGCCGAGGTCCTGGCGCACAAAAGAAGGATTGCTGATATACATATCAGGAGAAGTAAGGGTAAGTTGGAGAATGAATGGTGGCCACCGGCGGGCCATAGTCTCACGGCGTACATGCTGGCTGATGTCTGCTGAAAAAGAAAGGAATATCCCCTAAAAATGAGAGCAGTCCAGGCTATTATAGCCGCCGGATGAGGGTGTTGGCTTCTCGCATCGGCAGTTCTGGTGCTCGTGTGACCGGAGCTGGGATGTATAAATGCACACGATCAGAAGGCCAGGAACAGGCGAAACTCAAGTAGTTAGCGGTGAAAAAGCAGGTCGGCGCATCCGCAACTCCGAGATGTTGTATTGCTCAGATGCCTCGTGGCATGGAATAGCGATCAGACGGGAGCATCATCGGCTTGCGGCAGAGAACTTGTCTGCGCTTTCTTCGCTTCCCGTTTTTGCGATGAAAGTCGGGGAAAGTCGCTGCGGGGAGAAGCAGCAAGCCTGTTCGACTTACGTAAGCTTAGTCTGGGGCCTCGTTTCAGGCGCGATTGGCTATAGGGCAACAAAGCGGCCGAAGAGGCGTGCGGAAAGGCTGGATGAGAGGGCCTGCTGTGTGTCTAAGCCCGTAAGTATGTCGAAGAGGTCCCGCTAGTCATCGGGATCAATTTCAAGAATCATTGGGAGTTGGTAAACGGCTGGAAGAGAGAAAATACTAAGTACCAACTTGGATGTGATACATAGTTGACACGGCTTTCAAAGTTCTACAAAAACGTATCCAGTCTAACTAGATCTTGGAGGTCGCGGATTAGTCTCACTGAGATCTGGCATTAGCGTTTCGAAGCATTGGGCTAATTGTCGGGGTAATGTGGCTGTCATCGGAATATTAAAATCGGGGTGATTTGAACTGTATGATTTTGTGAAACGGGAGCTAAATCAAATTAACTAGGGAAGTTGTTAGCTGTGAATTTCCGTATGTACCGTGTAGAATGCGCGCATGAATATTGATCATCATTATCAGACATACCTAGTCTACTTAGATGACAGGGAGCCGACATGACCTTGAGCCGCTGAGTGAGTAGCACGAGACTGACCAGCATCACAAAGGCGAAAATGTCATAGTCGGCAATTTTCAGAGAAGGCTCCTCTATCCTTCTGTCTCGTGTTTCATTGCCCGTCATTCGAATGGTTTGGGTACGTACGAGTAACCGTGACAGGACCAAGTTTTAATGTGACATTTGATCAATATCCATATGCGATCAATATTCATGTCACTTCATTATTCACCCATGAACGCATTCAGACTGCTTTTCGAATGACACCTAAGATCTGTCGTTATTGCCCTCCGGGCTGCGGCTTCTTTCACGGCTTCGACTTCGTCCTCTATTACCACCACGCCCACGGCTGGAGTTCTGGCCGCCACCAGACTTTCCCTTGGAAGACGGAGGAGGCCGTACGAATGCAAAGTCGACTTCAATCGTTTGATCAAGCAATTTTGCGCCGTGCAGGGCTTTGATAGCTGCCTCTGCCTCGGGGAGGGTGGGATATTCAATTAACGCATAGCCCTGCCGGAAGTAAAACAACTTAGCTCACCGATTCCAGGACATAATGTAAAGAGGGTGAAAGGTATTATTTCAGAGTATATAATACCTTCACGTAACCCGTTCTTCGATCAAGATTTAGGTTGAAATTCTTGATATCCCCGTACTCGGCGAATAGATCTGTAACATCCTCTTCTGAAGCCTCTTCATGTATGTTCGTCGCAATAATGATCCACCCTTCAATGCTGCGCACTGCTGCAGCTGAAGCGCGAGTACGTGGCTCTGATCCAGATCTGGTCTGCTGCGGCTCTGGGGAGAGCGGAGGGTCGACTTCCATTTCACCGGACATGTCGATTTCTGTTTTTCTTTCGCTTATACCGGCTTTTGTCACAAAAATGCCAGTCAATGATGAAACTATTTGTTTGTCAACAATTTTTTGCCGCCTTGCTTATGGCCTCCTGTCCTTCGTGAGATGTTGAGGGGCGGAGAAAAATGAAGCTCAGGAGGCGGGATCAGCTTATGTAAGCGAGTTTTTTTGACCTCGTTGCTAAAGTTGCAGTGCAGGGAATGAAAAGTGTATTATTTTATATCGAAAGACATCCATGATCATAACTATATACATAAATACTAATGGTATATAACAGCAGGACTATCAGCATATATTAATCAGGGATGCAAAACGTGGAGTCTCGCGTTTGACATCCTTAACCAAGCCACTATAATATTCACACATTGTGTGTACGTATATACCCAAAACCACCAGGTCACACTGCAAGTATATCTTGGGGCCGCCGATACATGGCTAGCTGGAGGCTTTGATAAGGAATGTTGCAGCCTCGTCTGCAAGCACGCCATAGCTCTCGTGTGCATCCCAGTTAAAGCCATTTAGACAAACAGGGTCCCCTTCGTTGCAGTATTCCTTCGTCTTCTCCGGTGGGATATTGGCGAAGGGGATTAAGCGGCCTGGGTCTCCGAAGACTGCAATTGCTGATATCTTTTCATGTGTCAAAAGCTTTGCAGCGTGAGTGACCATTGCGCCCTGCGAATATCCTACGAGAAGAATCTTGCTGTCGGGGCACTGCACAACTGACTGCTTCACGAGGTCGGCCATTATTGGGCCTCCGTTGAGACCTAAGAGCAAATTTCCCTGTAGGAGAACTAATTAGCAAAAGGGCACCATGGACCTACACACCATTCACATTTTAAGGGCATGGACATGGCATTCCACTACTCCTTGAAAAATAAGGGGAAGAGCATACCGCGATACTGGCATCGTAATTGACTCCTTGAATTATGATCTTGTTGCCTGTCTGGGCTCGAAGTGCAGCGGCAAGTGGCCTACCAATTCCTCCACCCATGTTTCCATCCTCGTTGGTTCCGCGGGCAAAGATCATGGTTAGCGGCTGGCATGGCGCATGCTCCAGGATTCCATTTTCCACCAGCCCGTCGTTTGCGGTCGGTGTACTTGGAGGGGCTGTCTTTCCATGACTTTTTAAGCCTTCCTCCAGCTTGTTCAAACCCTCGAATACCATTATTGAAGCATCCTCCGCAGGCATACCTCCGCCCCCAAGTTCCAACCATTTCGGCAATTCATTGTTTGGAAGGGCCGCCCGGGACGCTGCGATACGTGCGTCCCTGGAGCTAAGAGGTGCAGCTATGGCACACGCCACAAGGCCTAGCAGGAAACATGACTCAAGCTTCATCTTGACTCTAAAAATATATATAGGAAGATATTGAATATCTCAAGCCAGAGTTTTTATCCCGGGGGTAGATTAGTGTATAAAGAGCGTCTGGCGCAGTTGAGGTCAGGGGGGAAGTAGATGGATTCAGATTGTTGAAATGCCCTCCTGTGTTGGACAGACAGGAGTCGATAAGGAAGTAAAATAGATCTTTCAATTAAGAATATTGTGGAAAGGTCTACTAACACAGGGGAAACAAACGAAGGGGTAAGGGAGGTCAGTGTCTGCCAGACCAAGGGGTAACGGATAGAATATATACAACACCATTCTTTAGAGGATTGTCTTCCGCAGGAAACCCGACGACAAACCCAGTGCCAACGTGGCCAGGGCATGTGAAATGAAACTTTACTTTAGTGCCCATTTTGCCTACACGAAGAGGCATTCTGAAGATTGGGGGGTCAGCTAGGCAGATGCGTTCCTGTGGGTTGATCCAGAGTTAGGGGGAACAGGTCCCAATCAAGGTTGTCATCGGAAGCTGGTAACCAGTAAGGAGCCAACATACAATTTCAAAGAAGCCATGTAACAGAAGAACAGCACTTGGTGAGAGCTTGATCCCAACTTATTGCGTTAAACAAGCTGGCGGCCCGGATCGATAATCCAAATTCTTGGTTCAATCAGATCGATGCATCTCATATGGACGAGATGGAAGGTTCTTGTCTCTGAATGGCTCACATGCTATGTAAGACCAGAAAAATAGTATCAAGCTAACTAATGGACGAACCAAGAGCTGATCACAGACTGATATCACCAGTATCCTGGGTTGCGTGCGTTAGTGTGGGCTCAATAACAAGGAACAAGGGTGAGTTGTCTGGACTTGCAGGTCGATCATCGTAGCCTCGCTTTGATGGAGAAGCTGAATCGACATGAAGAACTTGTTTTAGTAGTCGTAGCGATGCTTAAAACACCGGCGGGAACGGATTTTGCTACTTCGCCGTTGAAGTCTCCGCTACCGTGAGGCGAACTGAAGGGTCATAGATTTGCATCTCGATGGGTCCCTGGTGCTGTTGGAGAGAGTGTCGAACCAGCGACTACCTGCTCCATAGGTGGCCAGGGGAGCTTTGCAGGTAGTCAACTAACTCTCGCTGACTCGCAATAATGGAGGAGTTATCAGATGACGTCGGATGGCTGTCGTGTGGCTGAAGGCCGGCGGCATCCTCAGCCAGGCGAGTAACTCGGGCCAACACCCTGACCACCCTTTAAAAAAATAAAGAAAAGAAAAGAAAAGAAAAGCATCCTGGACACTCTGGCTGGTGATCAACCACTTCGTCAGAGGCATTTGGACAGCGAGCATGCATGCAGACACCAGGTCACGGTTACGGGACAGCGACTCGACAGAGAGCATGCTGCAGGTCTCTCAAGAAAGTACGCGGAAAAAGTTGACCCTCGGAACCGGTGAAGGATCGACTGCCTAAACCAGCTAGTTATGGCCGGTCAAATGATACTTAAGCAGCCCTGGCCCAGCCTGATAAAAATAGATATGTCATCGTGGAGTACGTTCCTGGTGCGGTCATGTTCGCCGCTGGGGGACCCGACTCCAGCTGCTGACAGTTCTCAGCCTCGGGATACGAAGACGGGGTCGCTGGAGAAAGATCGACTAACTAGAAGACTGGAGCAAGCGAAAATGGACTGGGCTTGCAACATCTTCCGCTTCCCCGACGGTTTTCTTGGGGGTTGCGTCTGGTCTGTAGAATAATGCAACCGGGTCAAATTTCATCTGTTCAAATTCCTCAGGGTGCGTGTGTGTCTTCCTAGCAGAGACATAAACCAAGGGGTGTTGATATCTCCTTATCCTTTTGAAAAACATCGGAGTACAGAGTACTATGTATTCAGGGTATTCATTCTCCCAGTGGAGTTGGTTGTTTAAGAGGTTTATGAATTTGATACCATATCTTATGACTTCAGTCTTACTATTATTGACCAGAGAAGAGTGAACAGCCAGAATGAGGGCGTGTCTCGGCATCAGTCCAAAAGGTGCTTTCCTTCTGTTCAAATCTTTGTTGATATTGACAGTGGAAAATCCAAAGAACACCACCCTGTCAACTTGTACGGACAAAGTCATCACAGATTGATACTATTTTGTTTGTCTCCTAGCCGTCAACAGGCCCCTTTTCTTTCTTCTATCTGGCTTATAGACAGATAGCCAGCAGCTATGAGCATGCTTGAGCAGTGGCTTCAGCATGAATATGCACCCCCTACTGTAGACAACAAAGTCTTCAAGCTACCTCTGGTCCCAGAGCCGGCAAGGCCAAAGAAGATCCCTTTCCGTGACAGACAGGATATCGAGGTCATCCTTCGTGGAGAAAAGTCAGACCACTACGCCCGCCTTTGCAAAGAAAACGCGGACCTTGAAGTCTCATTTAACCCAACCGGCGGTGATTTTACCATTACTGAGCGTGTTCAGGATCCGGAAGAGCCATGCAACTATCTAGAAGTGATCGTTCATCTCAACCGCAAGAACTCGGAGCTGCTAGATATCAGAAGGTTCTCTCAAACTACGCTGCTGATTGCATTTGCCGTTGCGGATGGGAAGCATCCCTGGATGGAGTATCGCCAATCTGGGTTCCAAAGTGCACGACTTCCAAGCCTTCTCAACCAAGCTGTCAAAGCAAGGTGGCCCCTCAGCTATATTAAAGTCCTCCTTCCACTCTCAAAACACCCTCGTAGCTGGACTGCCGTTCTCGCGCTGATGACCTTCAAGGGGGTTGACGATAAAGATCTAAAAGAAGTGAAGGAGCTATACAAAGCAGTGGAAAGATGTCAGAGCGAGTTATTTGATATCAGCCAGCGCCAGGGGCGCTCTAGCTCACTTAAGGAGCTGATTGATGAGGAGGAAGCAATGCGCGAACATATCAAATTGAGGGATCCAAAGAGCCGGACTGCATTGATCAAGTATTATGAGCAGTTGGTCGACGACATTGCCTCTGCTCAGAAACGAACCATGTGGCTGAAAGAGTCAGACAGGCTCGCCAAAGAACAGGAGATAATTTACTGGAAGGTCGAGGAACCTGATAATTAGAGATGGCTAAGAAGAGCTTGTTCTTGCAATGTTTTGGTCAAAGTGCTTAATCTTTTCATCCATTCGGTCCCTTGACCTTTTCCAACAATGGGGTTTGGGCTACTAAAACACGGGCGAATGTGACAAGCTTTCTTTCTTTGACTGTTTGTAACTTAAACAATACCATACCCCTTCAATTCAAATTTCTTTGTTCCAATAGTATGCATAGTAGTACTGGTTATCTTATTCCTGGAAAGGCTTTAGAAAGGTCCAAAAAATCATTAATACATAGAATCTTGTTATCCGAGTGGAGTTGTTGATCATGAAATTCTGATTTGTCGAGGAGTGAAATATTGAGATACATCACTGCCACCTAGGGAAGGGGGAGAGAGCGCCAGGGGTCAAGACAAGGGAAAAGATGAAGAGGGATATAGAAATTTATAGAATACCAAATAAGCAGACTCGGTGAATCGAAGACAAAGGCGATCTTGGGGCATATTGGGCTATTATTTATACAGTAGACTCCTTGCGTCCACGAAGCTATTTTCAAGCTTCATTTTCTTTCCTTTCAATTTTTTATTTTTTTAATTCTCCAACACCGGAAATGCGTCTATCGCTTGTTGTTACCGCCTCTCAGGGCCAGGATCTGGACCATGCGGACAAAGATGTTGATGAAATCGAGTTCAAGGCTGACACTCTCGTTAACAACATCTCTCCGAACAACTCCTCGCTCAGCCAAACGAGCGTGGTAAAGAATTTTCTGGATATCGTAGAGGGTGAATCCACCAAAGACAGCAAGGCCTCCGTATAGCCAAACTCGCTCAGACCACATAAGAGTTCTTGTTGCGGTAGCTGGTAGAACCAGAGGAGCAAATCCAGAGAGAGCGACAATGGCAACACCAGCGAGAAGTGGACCACCGAGGTAGAGGTATTTCTCCTGTTTGGCAGTAGCACCGACAAAGGCAATTGAGCCCATCATACCGACTGTGTAAAGACCAGCACGGCCAAGGATGGCAGGGGACATGAAGAATAGAGGAGCGAGAACGGCAGCTTGGGCAAGGTTAAATCCAGTCCAGAGGGCATACTTCTGAATGTAGCTATGGAAAATGTTAGCAGCACTCATATTCGATAGAGTACGGAAAGCTGTCCCACTTACTTATCCGGCGACGTGTAAAAAGTACCATACATAGTTCCAATACTGGCTACCAAGCTGGCACCAACAACAACCCATGGGTTGGTTGCCATAAGCCGATAAGACCATCCGCTGGTGTGAAGAGCACGGGCAGCAACGCCGATGATTCCAATGCCCAGGCCGGTGTGCATGAAGGTCTCATTCAAGAAACTTCGCTCGTAGGGGCGCATCCCGCCATCTTCTCTTGTTTCCCGGTTGAAAATGAGGTTTGTTGCCACAATGGTTCCTCCAACGATGGCGGCACCATATATCAATTTCTGAGTCATATTGCTGGTATCTCCAGCCGCAGGCTGATATGTCTTCTGCATGTAGGTCCGTCGGAAGGCATCCTGGAACGATTGGCGAGCTTTACTGAACGCTGATGTAGAAGGAATTTGGGACGATGCACGGCTAGCTGGTGATGATGATGACTTGATGGGGCCGTTATGGATGAACCGGATGGTCGTTGATACTGTCGTTGGCTTGGGGCCCTGTTTAAGCACAGCCGATACGGCGAACGGGCGGCGAAGGATGAACGCCATGATAGATGTGAGTGTTATTCGAATGACCAAGTAATGAAGGATGATGGTAACCACAAAACGGATTGGCCTGCGACGGGCTTTTATATACCGCGAGAGAGTTGTTCTGTATCCTTCTTCCGTCCGTCGAATGAAGATTCGAGAAAAGGGTCAAGCTTCGTAGACTTAGTCATCAGTCATGTGACGCTTATGATGACCTCATCACATCGTTCGGCCTTCGGAGTTTAGAAGAGAAAACGCGAAGATAACGAGGGGAAACGGACTTTGGAAGACTATCTTCGTGACGTATAGTTGACTCGGCGGATTGGAATTGGCTGTAGTCTTTCTGCGCCTTTATTTTTTTGTGACAATGTCGCTTCTTAAGAGTCTCCAAATTGCGCATCTTCCGCCGTCATTAGTAGTCCATGTCGCCCTCTATCGCGATGTGAAAAACTCGTCGTTTTTAAGAGAGCAGCTTATTTCTGCAAACTCAGCCTATGAGTACGCTTTTATTGATGCTAGTATGGTATGGTGTTGAAACTCCCTGTGGTTTGAGTGCCCGCGCCCACATACTGTGACTAAAATCGATGTTGACTTTCAATCTGTACACCAAAGTAGATCCTTTCGACCACCCACGTTCTTTCAGCTGTTTTTAGGGCAGTAAATGATTACGAAAATAAGCGGTTAAAGTCGAGAAATGTACATTCAGAGATAGTGTTCGCTCTGAGCCCGAATAATAATGTTAGTGTTGCCAGCTGTTTGATGTCACAAGACCGAATGTGAGAAGTACGCCGAATTAACCGATCTCATATGAACATAGATAGCCGATGCCTTTCGTCGATTTGGAATAGCAGATTCAACTACCGATCTCCTTGTTGTGAAAGTTAGCACGAGCCCGGAGATTACACATGAGACCGTATCGAAGCATCTAGGAGAGGCCGTCGAAGGCACCCAAGTGACATTCGATGATACTACTCTCAGTCAGATTACTGATATGTCGAAGATTCAAAAGGTGTATAAATTGTCAAACTTGGCGATTCATAAACCCTCTAAGAAACCAATGGATCCCGCTCAAGGCCACGGTGTAGAAGGGGTTGAGGAGGCTTCCAGGAGACGGATGGAGACCTCTGTACTCGGAGCTATTGCTTTAAGAGGCTCTTGAACCGTCTTTCCACAAGATAGGAACCATGCCCTTTCGACCGTTACCCCTATTGGAAAATTAGATGAAAACATGTTTATGGTATTGGCTTGAAGACAAATACTAGCAATGTGTGTTTATATCTGCAGGAGGACAAATGCCTTCGCACAAATAATCAGGATAGGGAAATCTTTTGTTCTCGAAGTATAGGCCTTTATCCACTATGTAACAGTATGATAGAGCAGATGTTTGTTATCTTCATGAAATATTCAAAAGTATGGATGTCGTCGTCTAGACTTCAGCCTCCCGTTGCCCCGACTACCAGTGTGTCAACGCCAAGGCCTCCAAGCAGCAAAATGCCGACCCCAGGCATCAAACTCAACTCGAGACAGCGGATGCTGGCTATCGTAGCAAGGAAAGCCCTTAACAGCTCTTTATACTGTACATATACCTCCAGATGATTGTTAGAAGTTTTGACACGATCAATGTCGCCCTGGCGCCGCAGGTTAGACCAGCGAGCGTGACCGCTATTTTGCCAACCTCTCCCGATGAGACACAGATTGAGTTCCCCTCGAAACAAACATCTAGCCGCACATGTGGTCTAAAATCTGACCCAGAAAGCCACGGTGGTGTCAATACTCAACTACAATCGAACAGAAGCGCCCGACATACCAGGACTATCTTGGGTGGGAAAGCAAATGCAGAGAACCTACCGGTGCCTAAAACGAAGAGGCGAAAACTGGGAGACAGGAGGGATAAAATAGTTGAAAACATGGAAGACTCGGCAGACTGCTCTCGGCCTCATTCTCAGTTGGTGCAAAATGGATTTACCGCGCAGAAAACGAGATCAAGAGACCCTAGAAAACAGCCTTTAAAAAACCAAAATTCAGAGGAAACAACTCATTCAAGGCTGAAAGGGAAGGTTATAAAGCCATCCACTAACTCCAAAATATCGACAAGTAAGAAGTGCTCTATGCATCCTGCTGATTTACAGCAGAGGGTGGCTGGAAGTTCTGGTTCAGAATTCTGTGGATTACGCCTTGAGGAAGCTACTATGAGAAGAGACTTTTGGACACCCATAAAAGACACAACTCTGGCCCATATTGACCTTACAGGATCTCCCGTGTTCACGCGAACAGGCGAAACTCAGGATAAAGGCAAAGACTTCAGATCATTAATGTCCGGATTCAATTTCTCAAGGGAAGCGTCTCGTGAAGTTGGCTCTGATGGTCAGTATCCTGCTGAAGGGCCAACAACAAAACAGCTCTTAGAGGTACGATAATTCTCCTAATAAGAATTGTGTGTTCTGTTATTAACTACGAACTTAGCTCATACCACAAAGCTTGCCCTCAGGCAAACATTCGGGAGATGAGGCTCACGATGCAGCTACGTCTAGTGCCTCGGAAGGAAAAGGCTGGTGTAAACCAGCTAGAAAACCCAAACGACCCGCCAAATCAAAGATTTCTACCATCACTTCGCTGACTATAGGGCGATACGAGTCACCATTTACATCAGAAGGTGGTGACTATATTTTGTCAGCCGATAAAGACGTAGCGTCCATCCAACCCGCCGGAAAGCCTTCTTCGAAGCGTAAGGGTACAAACGCAAGATCTGGAACAAAGATTTCCAGGGACGAATACCAAGCTCAAGCTAGACCTCCTATAATGGAAGCCCTACAGACTATCGAAAACCTAGCGTTAGTGTTCGGAACTTCCAGTCAGCTTGAGAGAGATTCTAGTCCTAGTGTCTATGGGCTAGAGTCTGGCCTTGAACACGGTCAAGGTCAGTGTGAATCAGCCAGAATAAGATCCAGAGAGCCCTCCCCCGGCCTTATGGTTTCGAGGTTCTCTAAATCTAAGAACTTATGGGCGGCAAGTTCTCGTGACCTAGATGGGTGTCTTTTGAACGTTGAAAGGGTTGATCTGGTCGGACCGGCAGCTCTAGCGCATAAACCTCGGGGCGAGCAACAGACTACTAGCGCCAACAGATTTCCTGAGGGTGAGATACATGCGGGGATTCCACCGCCGATTGAACATGAAAGCTTCGAGAAGATTGAATCATCCCTTAATGCTATTGTTAATATTGACACTCCCAATACTATCCAGCATCCTCATGAAATTTCAACCACCCATAGCAATGGAAATGGGGTCGAAAGCATGCCGGATTTTAACCGACTTTCAACCGAAGACCTCGCAGTCAAGTTGGCCTCTTTTGGATTTAGGCCGATTAAAAGACGTGAGAAAATGATAGAGCTTTTGGAGAAATGTTGGGAAAGTAAAAGGAAAACTTCTGGTAGACCAGAAATTGAACCAGCTTGCCCAGATGAACCACAAGGAACTGCTCAAGGGGAGCCCTTGAACATTACTGCAACCCCGATAGAAGCTAGTTCTATACCCAGCATCAACCCCCTAATACGGACAATAAAGCCCAAGGACGCCACCCCCGATGGCATAGCTGATTCTTCACGAACAAATGAGGCCACATCTCACAACCTGAAACTCTCGCCAAAGGCTGAGGGAAACACGCCCCGTTTCAAGGGCAGCGAACGTGATACTCAACCAGCCACAATAGAAATCGACGATGCTACCAATGAAGACTTACCAGAGTCATCTAAACAGCTGAGCAACCCCGAGAACTCCCATATTCCTTCTCGCGTACCATCATGCGATAGGCTGAATGGTCTTGTGCCACGGCCAGGAAAATTTTCAATTCGAACTAAAGGAGTTAGTACCAAGGCGAACGAACCGGCAGATCTCCCAAATATATTTATACAAATTACAAATGCTGTTAAAGCACAGCCTCGCATACGCAGCATAAAAGGTGTCAAGCAACCCACATGGCATGAGAAAATTGTCATGTATGATCCTATATGGCTTGATGATTTTACTCTATGGCTGAACGTGGAAGGCTTTAAACGCATACATGAAGATCGAGAAGTTCACGCATCATTGGTAAGGGAATGGTGTGAAAGCAAAGGCATCTGCTGCTGTTTCAAGAATAAGAGATGACAGTATATATTATACTTAGATTTTGTTTCAAAGTTTCGTTTCATGGGATATTCCTGAAAATGGAATTAGCATCTATATGGTGTTTAGCTGGTATGGCGAATCAAGCTTAGCTCTTTGGACGTTCGTTGGAGGTATATGATTAACAACGAAAAAAACAAAAAAAAAAAATTTACAAGTAGACATAAACCCTTCAATAACATCGTTCCAATGCAGACTTATGCCTGGTGAAAAGGGAAAGGAACAGCAGGTGTTGGAAGCTAAAGTTGTTCCTCATCCGCTGGGTACTAGCTTATGACTTTGGATTATAGATATCACATGCCAGAGAGGTAGTTATAATTATCTGGCGGATCCTGAGACGGGTCATGGTCTCTTTTAGGTGCTCCAGTCTGTTGATGTGACTCTCCTTGCCCACGTATTTGACTCTGACTATGTCCTTGACGCGCCCCCTGCTGCTGCTGCTGCTGAATACCCTGTCGATAGGAACCTGGACTAGTTTGCTGAACCTGTGATGGCACAGGGTGGTCTCGTCCAGAGAAAGGGTTTGAAGCCATCGATGTATTATATGCAGGATACTGGGAAGGGGGAATTACTACCCCGAATTGTGAGGGATCTTGCATTGAAGGTAACATTGCTGTTGGACCTGATTTGAACGTGTCAGTCGCCTCTCTTTTCCTCGTGTGAGGGGACATTTAGGGCATTTACATACGCCTGCCCGGTGGGTATAGTATCGGAAAGCCCTGCCCTGTCTGCTGTTGGGCCGTCTGGTGAATGGCTTGAGCTTGAGCCTGACTTTGTAGAGCGTCATACGAAGGATATGGATGTGGTGTTTCCTAAATATAAGTATCAACAAAATAGCGAAAAAGGTGGTGATAAGAAGTACAACAGAAATATAGTCACTCACCATCGACATTCCAAGCGCCTGAGTACCACCGCTTCCAAGGTGGCTGACCACATTACTGATATAGTCTCGTAAGTTGGCATTTTCTGTGCGTAATACTTCGTTTTCAGTAGCCAGCCTTCCGTTTTCAGCTCGTAGGCGTTCTAGCTCTCCACGAGTATACGACACTCGCGTTATTGGGTCAGTCTGGGTGCATGGCAAGTTGCCAGCAACACAGTTGGCACAGCCAGTCGAATTTGAATCGCACTTCATTTTTCGTCCCTGTAGCAAGTAATGTCTTTAGTAAACCTCTAAAATAGATGCGGAAGTTGGGATAGATTGTTGTGCATTTGGACAAGCTGAGGAAATCTGAAGAGTTAATGCTTCGCGGGATTAGGGCGATTTAAGTAGCTTGAAATATAATAAGGATATTTGAAAAACAACAGGATGTGGATGGACTGTAAGAGCGGGGTGGGTGTAATAGGGGCTTGGAACGCCAATGGAATGATGTTTCGAAGGCAAGAGTGAATACAGCCATTTGCTATAAGCGTGGCCTGCCAAATCTAAAACACTCATGCTGATTCCATTTGATAACTCTGTTTTCTTGAACACAGTATACAATGGAGTTGGGAAAACACAGCACACAAAGCAATTTGGCGTTTCTTATGTATCCAAAGGAAATGAAATGAAGTAGGCTTGGCCACTCAGAACAGGACTAGAAAGGGCAGTATTGTCGATTGAGACTGTTAAGAAAAAATGGAAAGGCTTGATAGAGCCGGAGTGTAAAGCAAACTCAAGTAAACTCACCTTGCAGCGATCGCACGCCTGGCCGGTACGATTGGTAGAAGACATTTGACCCTGAACCAACTCAGAATAATTTGGTTCGGGGCTATTCTTGCCTCTTCTCGGCTTCTTTGGACGACGAGCAGGAGCTGTGGCTTCCGTTGTAGATGCTTGTTCTGCCGCTGAATTCTGTGTCGTATCTTCTCCGGGATCTTCGGTAGACTCTGGATCTTGTTGCTGGGGGTTTCCTTGACTATTGGCGCCCTCGTTTTGGGCTTGGTTATTGTCCCAGGTTTCTTCCTGGTTGTCATCATTGGAGGGCCGTTTCAGTGACGCAGACATGACTACTTTATATAAGTAGATCGATGTGGGGTGACTGTAAGTTGTTGCTAGAATGCTGTCGTAGCTTGATTCAACCCAAAGGATAGTGTAAAGCAGATTGCTATAGAATATTTCTCGAATAAGTTGAGATCTTGAATAATGGCAACAGAAGAATCAAAGAGATCAAGATTGGTATCTAGTACAGTGTATACCCTGATATATGTTCAATCTAGAGAGAAGAACAGCCATAGAAATGTGCAGAAACACAGTATATGTACTGAAGAGACTTTCTTCACCTCTTAAACTGTGTCTTTAGGTTATTGTGCAAGGATAAAAAAGAGCTCTCTTCGGCTCTTTCCATCTTGTACACAAATAGTGCATCGCTTGGAGGTATTAATGACGGAAATCTCCATGATACATAATGACAGTGTAAACCCATGGGACCCAGAACCCTTTCATAAAAAGAGTCTTCGAAAAGCGGCTTTTTATACCCGTTGACTTGAACGCCCCCATTCAATCGACCCATCCGCAGCTTGTTCGTTCGAGAGCCCTAAAAAACAAGGCAACGACAGCAAAATGTTCATTTCAGATATCTCCTTAGTTCAAAACTTGTTCTAAAGGGTAGAGCCCTTTCAAAAATACCATGACTCGAGGTTGCTTTGATTTCAACACGAAGCAATCAAAGCAAGATCTTGATCGATTCACTCCACATAAGCAGTAGAATAAACGGGCATTTTGTTTCAACTGAGAGCTCCTTATAATGAATATATTGTCAAGAAGTTCTAGGTATTTCTCTTTTGCAGTTCTTGCAAGAAAGTGGACAAATCTTTGAAATGGGGGGTATACCTGATCAAGGCTTTGTTTTCGCTTTGGGTCGTCTGCTCTAATATATTGATAAAGGAGGTAAGCATAAAATGGGGTAAATCTCAGGTTAACCATATCCGAGGAGTCCCCCCAGGAAGCATAAGAGGAGAGATACATGGGTATTGTAGTTTTGGATGTTGAGGGGGGTGATGACAATGGACATAGATGGGTCGAGTCGGGCGGCGCAGCTGCAGGAAGACAGGACCCGACCGAGGCCCACGACAAACAGACGAGCAATGACAAAGAAATGAACGACTTGGCTTGTCTGTATTTTTCGAGCTTAGTCTCATGTTGGACTCCTCGTTTTTGCTGGTATATTCTTTCATAATGTTTAGTGTGATTTGAGCCGTGTGGCCTTGGGGATATCAATTGCCCTGGTTCTGAGGAAGTGGTACCGTGCATGAAAATTAATGCTTTCGTGACAACCTCTGTAATAGCGAAGTGTTCAGAAATAGCTACAAATAACTTCTTCATACTAACTACGGGAAGTTTGACCCGAGAATGAGCTTATGTTGTCATAGAATTTTGGCTTGTTAGCCTGTGAGAGTCAAATCGGATGAAGTTGGAAGTTGAGAAAAGCGATAAGAGTCTGCTTATGTAAGAGGCAGGTGCCTCGGAAGATAGGTCCTAAGTAACAACGATATCAACCATGAAATTTCTAAGTTGACTCGAAGGTTTCAAGGTGTAATACTCCTGTATTCTCGTTATGAAAGTAATATGGATATTGAAACTTTACTCGAGTAGTTATCGTGGCCTTCCCTCCTTTTTCTAGACCTGCTCTTATAACCTGCCATCCACTCCCTTTTCCTCATCCAATGCATCACTTAAAAGTGGTATCTTATATCACATCTGCACAACTGGTTTCATCTATCTTAACGCCAGCCAAGCTCAGAAATAGCTTCGATTTCCTTTGATGTTCGGGTAAGAGAATAGTAGATGAGCTGAAATAAACAAAATATAGAATACGCGAGAAGGGAACTGAAGGAAGGAAAGAAAATAGTATGAGTATGCACGTTAAGATGGATTTTGTCAAAATGGAGTATTTGATCATATCGTTTCGGGGTCGTTATATCGTGTGTTAATGCGAAGCGTTAAAAAGGAGAAGGAAAGAAGGAAAAAAGGGCAATTCGAATGGCTATAGATCGGTGTTTGTGCAATGGGTAAATAGTCATGATCCAAGAAGGCATGGTAACATGGTACTCAGTACAATGGAGGGTATTTAGGAGAAGCAAAGAGCAAAAGGGGATAAACTATGAATGGGCTATGTGATCCAATAATGTTTTCTAGTTCCCGGCCAACAAAAGTATACAGAAAGAACGGAGAGTGTGTGGCGAAGCGGGGTGAAATCGTAAAGGTATGTCACAAATGGAGTATACACCGTACAACAGAGTACAGTATACAAGATAGATGCTGGCCGGAAGGAAGGGCATGCTGGCATGATGTCATCGGGACCTCTTACCATTATGTGCAACGGTGATGAATTCAATTCTGTCCCGGTATCGGTGCTGGAAGCCATAATCCAGCCAGGGAGAAAGATTTTTGCACTGACTGACATCCAGTAGGCTGAGCATTGAGCAGCCGTCAGCAACAGCCTCAACACCGGTACCAGTTACGCGGACACAGCCCCGCACAGAAAGCTCGCGGAGGTTAAGTAAATGGAGGCCAATGGAGCGTAGGGAGGGGTCAGAGACTGCGGAGCCACAGAAGGAAAGGTTTAGATGCGTTAGTTGAGGGCAGCCAAGTGCCAGTACCTCTGTGGCGGTGTCCGAGAGAGCACAACAGAAAGACTAGGGGAGTTATTAGAATATTACAAGCAGTGTGATGGATCTGATATCCGCAGGTTTGGACTTACTAGGTCGAGTTCTTGAAGGCACTTTGCGCTATTGGTCAAATAGACAATCGCGTTGTCTGTGAGGTAAGTACAGTCCGCAAGACAGAGCTTCCTCAGCCTGAGAAACTGCGCATTCCCCCAGTATTGGAATCCCTGGTCAGTGATGGTTGTACAGCGTGTAAGGTCAACTTCTTCAAGCCGGTTTGCAGCATGAGAGGCAATGTGATGCATTGAACGGTCCGTAACATGTTTGCAGTATGACAAGGTAATCTTTTTTAGGTACGGACAGCCATATACTGTTCCCGCAGCCGGTTGACCTGGCTGCTGTACTGCACCCGCTTTCGGTGCGTATTTCGAATTCTGTAAAGCTCTACCACCGTTGACGTGGTTCTGGTTCTGTTGCGGAGCTGGTACCACCCACCCAACAATCCTTGCCAATAGCGTATCGCTCACCTTCCGGCAATTACTAAGGTCGATCTCCTGAAGGGACTTGGCATGGTTTGTCATATCCAGGATTGTTGGCGCTGTGACGTCCCAGACACTTTTCATTTTGAGCACACGTAAGTTGGCACCGCAAGTGTTAGCGAGAGCAGAAAACCCTTCATCAGTGACATGAAAACAGTTGTTAGCATCTATAACACGCGGTCTGTCCCCAACAAAGGGACAGATAATCCCGGATATAATTTCATCGGTAATTTTGCGGTTATACCGACTTAGATCAAGGAAGTGCAAGAGACGAGGTGATTTGGTGACTATCTCACACCACTGGCGAGAAACCCCACGGAGACGTAATAGAACATGTAGCTCAAGATATTGAAAGATGGATACAAGAACATCATTAGACAGTACTCCACGATGACGGATACTGTTTCGATGTTTTGAGGGCTTGGTTTGAAAAAAGGCTGAGTTCGTGAAGAGTGCCGACTGAGCATGTTTATTAGGTGAGGGTGTTCGTGAGCGGGAGTTTACGCTCGTTGCCTGGGATTGTGACTGCTGATCCGGAGCAGTATCTTCAGGTATAATAGGAGCAAGAGAGCCTCGCCGGGACCGGGATCGTACGTTATCTAACCCAACACTCAAAAATGGATCTGGGTCGGAAGGTTTCACAACAGATTCGTCTTCCATCCTATTGGGTTTGTGAAGAGATTCAAGTTCTGTTTCGGAGAAGGTAAGAAGAGGCATAGATTGTCTCCGGGCGGAGAAGAGTGCCTGATTTCCTGGGGTAAAAAGTTGGTCCGCGCTGGGTGCATCTTCCATCACTACATCACCGTCACTAGCGCCATCAAGCCTTGTTCGTGCCGTCCGTTCAACCTGATCTCTGATATCTGCAGGACATCGAGCCCAAAACTCCGAGAGAACTTCACCGCTCAGCATCAAGCATTCGACGGCAGATACCGAGCGGACTGTAGCAGTTCTTCGCGGTGCAAGTGATAGGCTAACGACTTCACCAAAGTATTGTCCTTGCTTTAGCCGTGCTTTTACCTGCACATTGCGAGAGTCCTCCGCATCAGCAACACGGCGGGGGCTGCTGGGGTCACATCGTTCGTTCAGGACCTCAACTTCACCGCGTACGATGAAGAAAACTTCCCTCCCCTGTGAGTTTTGTCGAATGATATCGGTGAATGGTGGATAAGTCCGTGGTTGTGCATTTAAGCCCAAAAAATGAAGGATATCAGCCGGTAGATTAGCGAAAAGGGGCAGTTCTCTGAGCAACATTCTCACGCTGACGAGCCCGTTGGCCAGAGCACTGGACGTGGGAACATCCTGACAGCTGGGGCTGGGTGATTTGCGCTTCTTAGTGAAGCTGTTGGCATCTCGATGGTCGTCATTATTAAAATCTAGGCCGTCCGCAATGGTATCCCGTACTCGTTTTGTCACACGTTTTTGCCCACCAGGAGCGTTCATTTCTACAACCGCAGGTGGTGACGGTGACTCCTTTTGTTTCTTACGCTCAAGGATCTGAAGACGCTCTTCTGCTTCATCCCGGATGGCTCGCTCCACCTCTGGGAATCTTGGAAGAATGTTTCTAAAGTCCTCCTTGGTCAGGATGAGAAGCAAGCAGCGAGTTCTTGCAATGATAGTAGCAGTACGAGGACGGTCCATGAGAACGCCGATCTCTCCAAAAAAGGCGCCTGGCTTTAGTTCTGCGTATGTACTCTCTCCATCTCGAGACGTGACGGCGACGGCTCCACGTACAAGCCAGTACATGGCCTTCGCATCATCTCCTTCCGTCAAAATGT